TGAATGAATGAATGAATGAATGAATGAATGAATGAATACTAACCCTTGCATGTCCCTAAACCAGGAGACAAGCTAGCAGGCGTTCCTAACTTTATGTGTGCCCTGGACTCCTTTGGCAGGAGGACTTGAGGCCTATGGATCCCTCTCAGAGCATTGTTTTTAAATACACAAAATGCTAGGTTGACAAAGGAAACCAATTAGACTGAAATCAAACAATAATAAACCAATTTTGGGAGAGTAACTGTGCTTCTCTGTTATGCTATTGAGTAATAAGATCTAGTAGCAGATCTAATAACTGCTACGACTTTAAAGTAGCAGGGAGAGTAAAAGATACTTCCAGGTCTGCAATAACTCTATGCGATACGGAAAACGTCGTGGTTCTAACTGGTGACAAAGTTAGAGGTACTGCTAATATTATTGTCATTTGTTGCCTACATTCTTAATTGAAAGAAATGCCAAGCAACAGACACAGATAAGTGAAAAATGGATAAATGAAAACATACTCCCATCTAAGTTTACCCCAATTACGAACCTTCACTCAACAGGATCTCCTAGAAAACAGGGACCTTCAGTGAAGTCAACAGAGGGCAGCAGGGCGGAGTCCACTGCTAGAATTACTGAACACTCGTCAAGGGGCAGACTGTGGCCACATTATGGATTGCCAGGTTATACCAGCAGAGATGTTAGAAACCATTAATTGTGGAACTCTACACTGTTTTCACATTTTTAACCACCATTATTTAAAAGTCATTGGGCTGTATCCTGTACTATTTGCAAACAAACAAACATTACCAGCCAGCAGCCTTCCTACATTTTTTGAGGCTCTGTTAATTAATCTGCATCATGGATATGATAATAACCTACTTCAGGGCTTATGTGAGGATTACTTAAGATCACACTGACAAGGCGCTTAGCAAGTGCATTCAATAAATAGTAGCTATCAGTGGGAGCTTCCCAGGCTCTACAGAAGCTGAAGGCACCAGAAACATTGCGGACAGAGTTGGGAACGTTGTATGCCATGACCCAGGCTTATTATCAGTTCCCCTGACAAAATAATCTATTTCAGGGAAAGTGGAAGTCAGTGAGACTAGAATTCTGAACTGAACTTGGAAATGATAAACCTAGAACTCCCAAACACAACCTCGGGCTTATCATTCTCCCACCGACCCTAACAACATCATCTCTCAAAAACATGTTTAAAGAAGTCCAGAAAGAAACTGTGCATTTGATACAATAGTATCAGAGTACTTGACCAGGGTACCTCATTTAAAACATAAGAACTTGTTACTTTACCTGGTATTCTTCATAAGTGGTAATGTAGTGCGTATATACGTTACATAGACCCGAAATAACAACGGTCATATTTGGCATCCCATAAGCTGCAAATTCCTAGAGGGGAAGGGAGAGCCCTGTAAAAGTACTCTTCATCTTAAAGTGTATTATCATCTTAGTTATACTCAACGTGTATAATTATAAATATGAATCATTACTGTAAGGTATCTATTTAACAGTATTTTTCCTGAAGATCAAACCTGCCTAGAATACAGGAATATCAAAAGATCCTTTAAGAAAAGTTAGAGCCACACTG